TCAATCCCAATTCAAAAGCTGGTTAGTGAGGAATCTGAACCTCTGGCAGCATCTCCTGCTCCTCACAACGCTCTGCTGGGTTTAACATGTTCTTCTTGTTTTGTTTAATTTATTTAGTTTTAATGTTCTGTTTTTTTAAATTTAGTTTTATTAAGTATTCCAGTATTGTATGTTGCATGTTTTTATTTGATTGTATTTACTTGATTAACATGAAATTAGTTTTAGGTTGAGATCCAAAATAGCCTCTGGCACATTTACAGAAATGTTGATCAAAGCGCTGTTAAAGATAAATGAATAAATAAATACATCTGTAATTAATGTTGTGTTTTATATATTTTAATTGTGTTGTTTTAATTATGTTTTTATGAATTTGTAAAATGTCTTTAAGTTTCATGAAAAGCGCTCTATAAATAAAATGCATTATTAATTATTATTATTAAGGCCCTCCACTCCCCATTGCTCCCCGGGCAATATCTGCCCACGTCTCCCAGTACTAGGATGGGTTAAATGCAGAGGTACAATTCCACTGTGTGCATGTGTGTGTGTGAACATTAAAGAGGGTTTCATCCTCCAGTTCTATATTGTCCTTATTTCCCCAGGTGGGTGGAGAGAGTGGTGGACAATAATAGGTGATTTTCCAGTCCTTGGATGGGTTTAGTTTGATGTTTGTCACCAAGATGCCAGGTTTTCGACCTCCTCTCTCTCTCTCTCTGACCGTGTGGTCAGCAAACCTCTCGGTGGTGTTGGAGCTGTGTGTGGCCACGTGTGAGCAGGGAAAAGAAGAGAGGGCTGAGCACACCGCCCTGAGGGGCGCCGGACTCTGAGGAAAATATTCCTGGTGGCCAAACGGCGGTACTACAACTTCCGCATCAGTCCGTGACGTCACTGGGCTCAGAAAGACTTTCTCCCATTAGCCGCGTTCACACCGGAGTACTTTTCCCCCTACTTTTCACATTTAGTTCCGTTAGTACCCCTTATGTCGCGTTCACACCAAAAAGAGTAATTAGTACTTTCCTGGGGGAAAAAAGTGCCCCAGTTCTGATTGGCTGGGCGAATTGCAAACCACGCCCCGTAAAACTCTGAAATGTTTTGTAGAGCTGCCATTTTATTATCCTCGCATTAATATTATTAGCATTAGCATTCGCCCAGCGCACAAACGCAGAGAGACTAACTTATGGCAACACAAAATAAAACATGGGAGCGGTGGAGATGAGGAAGTGTCGGCGTTCTGGCGATTTACTTGGAAGGCTTCAGTAGAAGCTGCTGGGAGTCCCAGCAGCTTCGACTGAAGCCAGTCCCCAACTCCGGGGACTTCTGGCCGGGGACTTCGGGTGGCAGTATACGCCGTCAAGTTCTTTGCGGCCTGCCAGTAAACCCAAAGCAGAAGAAGAAGAAGTGACGTCAGCGGCTCATTTGCGTAATCTTCCCTCAGGGAAAAGTACTCCGGTGTGAACGCGATTGGTACTTAGTGCCCTGGGGTATTAAGTGCCGGGGCACTAAGTGCCGCGGCTATTGACTAACATGGAGAAAGAGACGTCTGTAAATCAGCGGATAATAATAAAAAAAACGAAATATTAATACTACCCAGTAAGAACTATTTTAAAGCCATTATTAGAATCATTAGATCCTCAGAGTTGTAAAATGCAATCAATGTTGAATCTAGATTTATTTTCTCTCTCCATTAATTCTACTGAGCTGAGAGCGGGAGATCGGGGCGGGGCTTACTGACAGGAGGCGGGGCTTAAGGAGAAACTCAACTGCACATAGGGGGGACTTCTACTCTGACAGCAAGGCATGATGGGTAATCTGTGAAGTTTTGCTCTCGAGAATGTCCGGCCATTTTGTCCTCATGAGCCAATGAGCAGCTCTCATAGGAATGAACAAGGCCTCCGACGCTGTATCCAGTTCTTATGAAACATCCATGGGCTGAGCACGCAGCCCTGAGGTTCTCCGGTTTTGAAGGGCCAGGGTGGAGGATACAGGGGCGTTTCAAGACACTCTGGGGGGCTCAGGCAGAAGAGACCTGCCTGCTAGTAGCATGGGGCCCCCTTTAGGGGGTTCCCGACGTGTCATTGCAGTGTCTTCTACGTGGCAAGAAATTAAAGGGGGTTTCATGTGGTCGCTGCTGTGTACCAATGTTAACAGCTGTCTTTGGGGGCCCCCTTCCCAAGTAGCAGAATGAACCTTGTAGGGGGGTTCTGGAGATGTCATTGCAGTGAGTTTTACATAGTAATTTCAATGTTGTCGTTGCTGTGGACCAATGTAATCTTTGGGCCCTAGGCAATTGCCTTGTTTGCCTACCCCATTGCAACGCCCCTGGGAGGATGTGAGCTCTTCCCTGAGCTTGATGACGAGCACAATGGGGTTGAAACTGAACTGTACCTGTGTTATTCATGTTTGATTATCTTTTGAGTGTTTCAATGCCATTTTATAATAAGTTTCTGCTGCACTATTTCTTCATGCTCTTAATGTCTTTCATTTGTGTAAAGCACTTTGAATGGCCTTGTGTTGAAAGGTGCTGTATAAATAAACTTGCCTTGTTTTCAATGAACATCATTCTGAGGCATCTTTCATCCAAACTGTGGAACAACGATAAAGAGGAAAACTCAGTGGACATTTTTATACGCCAGCTAAAGACACATCTTTTTAGATTAGCGTTTTATAAAACACTTTAAATGGTCTTTTAGTGTTTATTAATTACCTGCTTTTGTAGTGTTTTATTTATTTTATAGGTCTTTCAGAGTTTTATCTTATATTATTTATTTAACAGTTTCAATAGCAGGGTTTTATATTGTGGCATGGACTCAGTCGTCTTGCGTCTTATCTGTCGGAGAGAAATCATTATTTGTATTATCACCTTTTCCCTCCTCGTGTCTCTAACCTGTTACATGTTGCTGCATGTTTCTGTAAAGCTCTTCTGATCCGAGGTCTTGTTGTTTCTTTCTAACTTGTGATGTTGTAAAGCACGTTGAGCTGCATGTGCTGTCTGCAAAGTGCTGTATCAATAAAGCTTTATTCTTCTTCTCACATGTCCTGGTCCAGGTGGGAGACCTGTTATGCAAACTGCAGATTATTGTTATTATCAGTGTCTGCCTTTCCACGTTTAACCCTTTCAGCACACGCTGTGCAGTAACCCCCGTCACCTTCAACACTTCATCATGAATCTAGACTAACTGACATGCCAACAACAAACATCAATGCTCCTCCAATACGCACAGGGCTTTCATTGTGAAAGGGAGGAGAGGATCTCGTCTGTTTGCCGTCTTGATTATATTATTAAATATAGACTCAATGTGTTGTTGCCTTTATTAGAGCTGAAGTCTCAGGGAAAGGGACCTTGTTTTGGACAAATCTCCCCCGCTGTGTGAAGGCCTCTACAGACAGTCTCTGTCACATGACCAGGGTCATCTGTCACATGACCAGGGTCATCTGTCACATGATCAGGGTTTCTGTCGGCCAGGTCTTCAGTTTGCTCAGTGGTTCTGTTCTATAGAGGCAGAAAGAGTTTGAGGACATGTTGAGGACATTGTGAGTCTGTCTGTCTGTGTTGAACGGGTCCGTTAAAGATGATATTAAAGTATATAAGACTGTCTTGAACTTCTCCGACCTGCTTTTCTGAGGAACTGATGATGAAGATGCTGATGGTGTACAGATTACAGAAACTGTTGGTTTCCTGTTTCCTGTTTCCATGACGTCAGGCTGTCAGAGTCAGATCAGATTAAACTTTAACACGAAGAAGAGCTGGACTCAAAATGTAAAACCGTCTTTAAACTCAGGGTTCATATACGTTCATGTTGAAGATCACTGTTGATTTCGATTCTGAAATGTGCCATAATGAAAAATCAGTTATTTGACTTCTAGGAGTTTAAGTATGGGGTGTATGGCCTCCACACACACACACACACACACACACACACACACACACACACACACACACACACACACACACACACACACACACACACACACACACACACACACACACCACACACACACACACCCACACACACACACACACACACACACACACACAGTCTGATGTTCAGGCTGATATGAGGCTGCAGACGTTGTGCAACACGCTGCTTGCTCTTATCTCTGGTTGTGCCTTTAGTACAAATAAGGTTGTTTTTTTAAATGTCAGTTATACATAATTCATAAATAAATACAATATTTGTTTTGTTTCAGAATACCTTTGTTAGTCCAGAGAGGACATGCACATTGTTACAGCAGAAAAGAGCCAAAGACAAGTATTAAAGCAGCCAGGTGTATATTACAGTTATTAACGGCATATATATATATATATATATATATATATATATATATTGTCCTTTCACTTCTCTAACGATCACCAGATTTAGTGCTCTGTCAAACATTACATCTCACCGTGTTCGAATCACAAATCAAAACTCACCTTTCCAGAAACTATAACTAATTTTATAAACTCATTTAATCTGTAATTAATGCTGTTATATATTTTAAGTGTGTTGTTTTCCTTAATTGTTACCTCGTAAAGTGTCTTTGAGTTTCAAGACAAGCGCTGTATGAATAAAATGCATTATTATTCTTATTATTGAATGAAGCTTTCTAATGTTCGTCGTTGTATCTGAAGACGTACGAGAATTTGTAATAGTTTGAATAAAATGAACTTTAGCATTGATGGTTTTCAGCTGGAGACAAACACGCGTCTCGTGGAGAGAACATATCGCTCAAAGATAAATAAATTCAACACGTTTTATTCGGGTGAGAAAACACAAGAGACGTCAACATTCATTTCTTATCAAAAAGGATTTTAATTGCAGTTTGACTTCCTCTCGTGAAAACAGCAGATTATTTTTAGATGTGAGTTTGTTTGTAATCTTTAGACAAGATGCGCTTTCTGTTACAGGCTATTCAAAACTTTATTGATATTCACACTGACACACACTCCAGAGATCTCCTCCTCCTCCTCCTCCTCCTCCTCCTCCTCCTCCTCCTCCTCCTCCTCCTCTCCTCCTCCTCCTCCTCCTCCTCCTCCTCCTCAGAAGTCATCATCGTCGCAGATGTCGAGGTAAACGTCGAAGGCTTCTCGGTTGCAGTTTCCATCGGGGGTGAAGACGTACTTATGGAAGGTCCCGTCCACACATATGGCTGCAGGGAGACCAAGAACTCTTTCAATAACAATACATCATAACACAAGACTGTTTTTGAGCAACACTGAGGCCCTTTCTCATTCCTCTCATGCCCCTCCTCGCCTCCTCGCCTCCTCGCCTCCTCGACTCCTCGGCCCTCCGGTAGTGACCCGGAAATGGATTTCAGCGCGCCATGATGAAGGACATCTCATTTCTCTAAATGCACTTCGAGGTCAACACATTCTCACTCCCAACTCGGCCTATGTTGACGTTATGCCAGGGTCCGTGTCGTCACTTTCCAACGCAGGGGGGCCCTTTAGCGTCGAGGTTCAACTCTCAGGGCGTCCCATTGGCTTGCATAGAGCTCCCTGAACGTTGGTAATAGAGGAGTTGGGATCGCGGAGAAATGCTGTCCTTAGATCCATTCTCACAGCATCAACCTTTTTCTGACTCAATATCAAACCACACTTATTGTGTTTACTTCTTTATTTTGATTGAATAATGTAGGACTTTTGTTGCCGTCAGTTATGGGGAGAGTCGGGGCTCAGAATACTGACATCTGTATTGTTTCATCGTTTTTTCCTTCTAATTTCGTATTCTTTTCTAAACCACACTGTTATTTACTCAACAATAACACACTTATCCTTGTGTTTATTTATTTTTAAAATATATTTTATATATTTATTTTTTTGTGGGGGGGGCTGTGTCCCTAATGACCAGTCGCCACTGATAATATATATCACTCAGTAGAACAGGCCTACTCTCTTTATGTGCTTTAGGTTAGTAGATATCAAACAAACTAAGAGTCCAGATTTTTCTAAAACCATTTAGTGCTTCACAAAATAAAATGGGGATATATCCAGACTCTGGTTGTGTTACGTTATTATGAGAGTGCTCTCATACTTGTTTGATTCTGAAATTGTATATATTTATATAAATATATGTGTGTGTGCATCTGTAGCTGTTATTGTCTCATTATACCGCACTGTGAATGAATCAAAGTAAATATAGAAGTGGTCATGAACACATCTGTCCGTCAGACAGACGGCTGTGCCTCCTGTCATCATTAATGGACGTCTCTTTCAAATGACGCTCAGAGGAGAGGAGTTTCTCTAACCGCCTGCTGCTTCCCCTCCTCGGCTCCCCTCCTGTGGGCGGGACTAAGACACGAGGATAGGAGTCGAGGATAGGAGTCGAGGAGGGGAGTTAGTGAAATGAGAAAGGGCCCGGGTCAAAGAGAGGAGAGGAACCACCATCTGATCAGAGAATCATTAAAGTCAGTCTAAAATAAATGAAATAAATTCCACATCGCCTCCGGCCCGGTTTTGCTCACCGATGACGGAGTTGACGTTCTTGGACGTGTTTTTCCCGAAGGCGCAGATACAGGCGCACTCAGCGGGAACCGTGAAGCTGGCCAACGACCACTGACTGTCCACGTACTGACCGATCACAGGGCCCACCTTCCCCACACGCGCCAGCCTGAACACACACACACACACACACACACACACACACACACACACACACACACACACACACACACACACACACACACCACACACACACACACACACACACACACACACACACACTACACACACACACACACACACATACACACACACACACACACACACACACACTACACACACACACACACACACACACACACACACACACACACACACACACACACCACACACACACACACACACACCACACACACACACACACACACACACACACACACACACACACACACATTTTCAGGAGGCAGAGCAAGTCAGGAAGAAGAGACAAGGAAACACAGGATAGGACAGATGTGTGAGAGTTTAAACAGAATTAGGAGCTGAAGGTATAAATATATATATATATATATATATATATATATATATATATTTATATATATATTTATATATTTATGCAGAATAAAAAAATTATGAGGAAAAGTAAAGATTTGAGAAAAGAAAGTCAAAATGTGGGGGGGGGGGGGATGATCATCTCCGAGGTGAAACTGCATTAAAGAGGTTTGCACTGTGTCTGGTTGCGCCTCGATGCAGCCTGATGGCGCAGAAGAGCTTTACTAATAAGACAGGGTTCCTTTTCCATGACCAAACAAACGACTCGGAATGCTTTATTTTAACATGGAACAGGAAAGAAGGTCTGCATCTGAAACACGGTGTGTGCTGTGGTGCTATCTTCATTACTATACGGTACAGTATTTATTATCATAGTATCACTATTTCGGCGATTAGCTAAAATATAAATGATATTTGATGCAACTTTAGTTACGTTTCCATGACTTTTCCAAAACGTGTCCAGGTTTTGAATGACCGTAAGAACCTGACAATAAGACAGGTGACCGAGCAGGTGGTGTCGAGCTAGAGGAAGCTTACGCTGAGCGGCGGTTCAGTTTGGTGTCTTTCAGAGCGAAGATGTGGACGGTTCCTTTATCGCTGGACGCACACAGGAAGGACGAGTCGTGGCTGAAGTTGATGCTGGAAAAGTAATCAACAAATGAGAGAATCAGAGCCTCAGACACACGTCTTTTATAGTTTATTTTATCTCTAACATGTCCCAGAAGTAGTCGCTGTGATTGCTTACTTTCCCTCCCTGCAAATGGAAGACTTTCTTAAGTTAATTAAACACCTTTTTGATTTACTACTAAGAGCTGTTTATGCTATAGTTTGTTAAATGCCTCTCTGTCTGACAATCACACACATTTATTTTTAAAACTATGAAATGCACTTTGGATAATATCCTTGTTTCCTTAAAGTCCAAGGTCTTTAAATACAATAAATAAATATATATTAAAAACACACACACTGTAGCTATGTGATGGGTGTGTACCAGTAGAGTGTGGCGGGGTCTGTTCCCCGGCGCAGCTCCACCAGTTTGTCTCGTGTCGTGGTGTCGAACAGACGGATCAACGTTCCTTTGCGAGACGCGGACGCCGCCACGCTGCCCGGCTGGTTCAGAGCCACGCAGGCGATCTCACTCTGATGGGCGTTGATGGTGAACGGAGCCGAGGACGTGCCGGGCTTCGTGTTCGACAAATCCTGGAGAAAAAACAAGATTGTTTTATATTGAACATATTCTGTACAGCGGTGCAGGGAGGATGTGAACAAAGTTAACATTTTGAGAACAAATTTAAATCTGAGAAAAAGTCAAAAACCGAGATTAAAGTTCAAATTATGACAAAAAAATCCAAAATAAATTAATCTGAGAAAATTTTCTTAATTTTAGATAAATTCTAAATTTGTGAAAAAAAGGCAAAATTAGAGAAAAAAGTTAAATTCTGAGAAAAAATGAAATCTGAGAAAAATCAAGAACCGAGAGTTAAATTACAATTCGGACAAAAAAATCAGAAAAAATTCTAAATTTTAGATTAATTCTAAATTTGTGAAAAAAAGTCAAATTTCTGAGAAAAATTGAAATCTGAGAAATGATTATTATTTCAGGAAAACAACCAAAAACACATTCATAAAACCATTGACCTCCACACAAAGGGGACAGGAAGTGCTACAAATGAGTCGACCCCCTGATTTCCTTCAGATTACCCCGTGGGTGTGAGACTCACTACGAGCTGCAGGCTTCCACATTTATGCCCTGGAAACACCAGCAGCTGTTTCTCCAGACTGGGACTCAAATCACACAAACCTGGAGGAACAAGAGAACATTCATTTAAAGAACGCAGTGATGGAGGAAACAGACGGAGAACTTCTTTACTTATGAATTTAAATTAGGGCTGTCAGTCGATTAAAATAGTTCATCGCAAATGAGTTATCTGTTCTAAATGTTCCTTAGAGGGATATTTTTCAAGTTTTGAATACTGCATGTGAGTGGACAAATATGCTTTATGCAAATGTTTATTATCATTTGAACAATGTCAAATATCCGCCTCAATTCAACCTGGAACCTCTCTCATACAATAATACTGTGTGAGTGTGTGTGTGTGTGTGTGTGTGTGTGTGTGTGTGTGTGTGTGTGTGTGTGTGTGTGTGTGTGTGTGTGTGTGTGTGTGTGTGTGGTCTAGCATTACTATACTTGTGGGGACCTAAATCTGTTTACATAGTCACGTGTGGGGACTGGCTTCCCTTATGGGGACAAATTGGAGGTCCCCATGAGGGGGATCATTAATTTTAGGGTGAAGACTTGGTTAGGATTAGGCATGTGTTGGTTATGGTTAAGGTTAGGATAAGTCTCCAGGAAATGCATGTAAGTCAATGTAATGTCCCCTGAAGTGATGTATACATGGTATGTGTGTGTGTGTGTGTGTGTGTGTGTGTGTGTGTGTGTGTGTGTGTGTGTGTGTGTATGTGTGTGTGTGTGTGTGTGTGTGTGTGTGTGTGTGTGTGTGTGTGTGTGTGTGTGTGTCGGCGAAGTGGTCGGCGAAATGCCGCTCCTCTGTTTTCATAGCTGTCAAAGCTAGAGACTGAAGTCCCCACTGTGGGTCAAAACAATGCGCTGTGGCCCGAGGTGACTGTCCTCACTGAGTGAAGTCCAGTGGTCTCCGGTGAGTCTTTCTTAAATCCTCCTTTCGCTTTTTGGACTTCATGCCAGTTGTGTTGTCGACACAGTGGTCGCTCTGGAAGGCGATTCATACGTGCAGTCGACCCGAGTTACATCACGCAGCCGCTCGCCCTCCACCATGTTAATTGGCCTGAAAGCTCTGGTCTCCGGCCTCAGCAGTGTGCTTGGATCGGATGGTATTTTAAACTCGATGCGCTCTGAAACTACGTGGCGGCCGAGGACAAAAAATGCACATGCGTTAATCGCGTTAAAATAATTAGTGGCGTTCATTTGTTTTAACGCGTTAACTTGACAGCCCTAATATAAATAGTTATCAACGCAATAACCAGTGCATGACATTAAGGATTTTGGGAGATGGCCCTGTGGGCCGTCTAAGCTAATTTACAGATGGCCCTGAGCCCAATAGAGATTGCCCTGAAAAATGCGCGCGGACAAAATGACGCACGAAGGGTTTGGGGGGCCTCCCCCTAGAACATTTAGATGGTTGCAGGTCTTAGATGCTGTCTGGTGCATTCTCTAGACTGAATTATAAAATGAACCACCACAATATTATATTGTACAATTTCAATTTTATTTTTAATTTCACTTGTTTGTTTGTTCTTGTTTGTGTTTGCTCGCTTCATGCCCTGCATAGCTATAAGAAACACTTAAGTTGTTGATCAAGACACTTTCCATCTGGGAAGGCAGATGCCTTCCCAGATGGAAACAAGTAGAAAACATTACATTCAGTTATAACTGCCAAAACAAACATTATTTACACTATTATGGCCCCTGTTAAAAATGTTTGTAATGTTATCTAAATTGGTCGAACGAATGCCTCCTCATCCGGAAGCTGACCGAGCAGACCCGAGCAGCAGTCGAGAGGAGCCGAGCGCATCCGTGAAGCACACAACATGGCGACGTCAGAGTTCCCGTTAGCCGGCAAATCTAAATCTCTTCGGTCAAAATAATTTCCCTTCAGCGCAATACCGCTTCAGTTGCGCCACTTATGTGACAGACAAGAAGAGTCCATTCTAATGTCTACTTAATGTGGAGAAAGAGATGTCCTGTGTGGGTTGATTGTGCGTTGATCTGTTGGTAATGCCTCGGGGTTCCGGTGGGCATGTAAACAAATGCATAATGCTGCGCTATACTTTGCGGCCTCACCCGGTTGCATAGCAACACTTATTGTTTAGGTGTCTTTTAATAAGCAGGTAGTCATATCATTAGCTAGAACTAGCTGGATCTGATCGATATGGACATAAACGCGAGTGAAGTCTAATCTGACGGGAGAGAGAGATCAGCTGCTGCTGACGAGTCGACACGCAGCTCTGCATAAATACATGCAGCGGTGAGCGGAACAAAACCCACACTTCAGGTTAGAATATCACACGTAGCTATTTTAATGACCTCTCAAACTACCGTAACTAGTTATAGATACGTTTAGTTTTACTGTCGGGTCACTCATTACTGATCCGCGAGCTGCATGAGACTGGCACAATAGATTGCCCGATCGGGCAACCAGCAGGTGAGGCTTCATTGCCCGAGTTAAATACTAGATGGCCATCGGGCCATCGGGCCATCGGGCAGCCCTTAATGTCGAGCCCTGATAAACCGTATTTAATGTTTAATTTACATTATTTAATTTCATATTCTGTTCTCGTACATATCAGATTCTACTTACATGTCTACTTCTTGTACTATGTTGTATTTGTATATGTTGCATTGTGGGAGGAGCTCAGGTCAGGAGAACGTCACTTCTACACTGAAGCTTATATATGAGGATAACACCTTTGAGTCTTTGAGTCTTGAAGCAGGACCTCTCACCTTTGGGGTTATCTCTGGTGTCAAACTCAAACAGTTTGACGGGATTATTTGGGAAGCTGTACACATAGATCCGGTTCTTTAACACAATGATGATCCTGGAGTAGGAGCAAACAAAACGTTGATTATAAGTATTTTAGGCATATATTATAGGTCTCAGATATATATAAATATATTACAAAAACATGTCTATGAAGTGTTTTGCTCAAAATACCAAACCGATCATTCTAGCTTCACATATTTCAGTTACTTTATAAAAATTAAAAAAGAGACGAGAGCTCATGCAGGAGAATCAGAAAGTCCACATCATGTTCCAAACCACATCAAGGATCCTCTCTGAAACAGGATGGAGCTCAAACTCTTTCTCTCTCTCAGGTTTACCACAAGGTGACTTCCTTTTGATTTCCTGCTTCTTCACACAGACTCTCTCCAGCACAGGTTAGCTCTGAGTGTTAGCATGCTAATGTAAACACAGAACGTATCACTTCCAGAACACGTCTCATTGTTTCTGACAGCAACCTTTCTGATTGGCCCGTGGGTTTAAAGCCCGCCCACATTTTAGTAATGTGGTCATGACGCAGCAAATCTGGATCAGCTCCGTTGTTCCCCGTTTTTAGAGACGTGGGTACGGAGGAGAAGAGAGAGGGGTCGTTTTCTCCTGACACACTGTAGAAAAGGCTAACTGAGTGCAGGTGCATGACTCACTTGTCCTGCCTCATGCGGACGGCCAGCACTGGTTTGGTGAACGTGAACTCCAGAACCAGTTTCTCTTTCGGGTCTCGAGACTCCCGAGCGTCATCCCACACCAGCACTGTGAACAAAGAGTACAAATAGAGTTATACTCAATCCATTATTAAGCTTATTATTATGAATCCATGTCACCCTGTGTTTGATATCCCATCAGTATGTATTGAAGAATTAAAGAATATTGTGTGCATCCATCGGTTTCTCAAGGTTTAGATATCTTGTTTTTTTAAATGTTGAATGTGTAAAAAGTCATATTATAGGTCATCGAGACTCACTGGATATTTCAGAGAACTTTGGGTTGATTCCTCCTCCGACCAACGCCAGCAGGTTAGAGCGATGTAACATCGAGCAGGTAGCCACGCTGCCTATCTGCTCATGGTCTGAACACACACACACACACACACACACACACACACACACACAACACACACACACACACACACACACACACACACACACACACACACACACACACACACACACACACACACACACACACACACACACACACACACACACACACACACACACACACACACACACACACACAGTATGTTAGGCTAACAACAGGGAAAATACCAACCAACTCTCACGTTGGATTAAAATATAGTAATTACAAATACGTTGTCTTCTTAAGAACGTCTTTTTAACCCTTTGCTTACTGTCATTTCATATATGGATTTTATGAAATGTGTTACAGCGTTATGTTAATATAGCTTGTACTTAATTCACTCTAGAGATGAACATTGATGCAAATATAATAATAATAATAATAATAATAATAATAATACATGGGATGTTTATAGCGCTTGTCTTAATGCTCAAAGACGCTTTACAGAAAATCAGAACAGAAACAAAAAATAAAGAGAACTCGTAGTTTTTCTCTTCACTGTACATTTTACATTTATATATTCAGTTCAATATTTAATATTCCATCTGTCACAAACTTATGTATATTTATTACATGGCTTAGTTGAATACTCGATTCTGATTGGTCAATTCAGAACACGTGACACGTTGTTAATCCAGAACAGACAGACCGCTGTCAGGCACTTATTGACCGTTGTTAAGGACGCTCACATCTGCAGAAACAAGTCCGCTCGATTTAACTGTTTACAGTTTGGAACTGGGCCAAGAAAACAGCGCAGAAGCAACGGGCAGAAACCCTCCTTTTTACGGTCCAGACATAGACATCAAACGGCGACACATATTCAGAGTGCAGTTCCTCTGGCATCAGGGCAGGATATCTAGATACTCTCCAAGGTCTGACATCATGACTTCTGCTACTTTTAAAGCAAGCAGCGATGTTTTCAAATCTGTAATCAAAAAGCTCCTCAAAAGCGCTATGGAAGCCGTTCCTGCCGTTGCTACGTAGTTCAAACGGTAACAACGGACTATTTCTCTTAGCGGATGCACGTCAATTTAAAATCAATAAAAACATTTTTTTTAAATCTATAAAAGCATTGTTTAAAGGTGGGGTCGGTGATTCCCTTCAGAAGCACTTATATTCCATGGAATGCTCTTAACGTCCCGATAGCAATGAATATCTGAAGTGCTTTGAAGCCGTGGCGCTGTAAAGCACGACCAATCATCTGAGCCGGCTAAAGTAACTGGATGGCCTACCTGCCTGTCAGCCTTCCATCGGGGCACAGACTGATCTCGTGCCCTCATTGGTCATGTGCGCGTTCGTGTGTTGGAGGAGGGGCTCTGTGAGGAAGTGGGTTTCTCTGAAACTACCCCACCTTTAATGTTGGGAGTCATGTCGTTACTTTGTTGAGAATGTGGCCTTGTAATAAGCGGGATAATGTGCAGCGACTTGCTCATTCTGGCTAAAATGGTAAATGGACTGAACTTAGATAGCGCTGTATCCAGTCCTCACGACCCTCACAGCGCTTTACGTACTACATGTCATTCCCCCATTCACACAGAGCAGTACCGCTTGCTCTAGGAACTAACATTCACACACCGTTGGCCATCGGGAGCAACATCGACATGTTGGCTGCACGGGCTGGGATCGAGCCCACGACCTTCTGGTTGAAAGACGACCGCACTCCCTCGCAGCCACAGTCGACAGGCTGATCAGGAGCCCGACGCGAGGCGGAGGGATCTTGATCTGCATGAAGCGTCGCTGCACATTAACCCTTACATAATGCCTCGCTTTATGTCTTGTTATCTTTCATTTGTAAATTCAACACGTATATTTTCTACTTTCTTGTTTCTTTATTTTTGTATTGAACAATGTTTTTATGCTGCTGCAACGCAAACAATTCCCAAATGTGGATCAATAAAGTTCTTATCTTATGAAACAACTTCCATAACATTCATCTGGCTGCTACTTAGAAAGGATTGATCTAATATATCATATTCCAATAACTGGCATATAGACACTTATTGCACTATCTGGTTCTGTTTGTCTGTGTTATTGTGTGGCTCCGTTGAGCAGTCTGTGACCGTCATAACTACACTGTAGCTATGACGATGAACTATGTTCGTATGACCAATAAAAGCCTTGCACCTTGATCTTATAAACGCATCCTCTCACCCAGGTGTCCTTTCTCCATCAGCGGCTCCACGTTATAAATCCTGACCCCCGTCTCCATCGCACAGCAGAAACAGCCTGTGAGCATCCAAAGAAGAGAGGGGTGAAATTCAACTTGGGACATTAACTTACGCTCTTAATGTCCTTCATGTTCCTAAGTTGTTATAGGCGTTGTGCGTCAACATCTGAATGTATAAAGTAACTAGTAAATACATCTATCAAATAAATATAGTTACAAGTTAGATTAGATAGATAGAAACTATAGTGTTCAGGCATCACAATAATTAAAAGGTGGAGTAGTATAAAGTAGTATGCAATTAAAATACTCGAGTACAAGTACCTCAAGATGTTTACTAGTACTTAGTTAGTTTCCAACAATGCTTCTTTTACATCTATTCAGCTAGCTGGTTATACTTTAATATGTCTGTTGGAGTAACATTTTAAATGCAGGACTCATCTTCATTTAAAGAATACAGTAGCTGCAGTTAGCTCCTGATGCTAAGTGTTAGCTTACTCTGGTCCTGGTTGAACTGCAGGCTGTTGACTCCTCTCTGCTGAGCCATGATGAATCTCTCCGGTTACCGTGAGCTTACCGGGGAACTACAGCTCCAGGACAACCTGTGAGAGATTAAAAACCGAGATATTTAAAGGAAAACCCGTAATTTCCCTATAAAAAAACATTGTTGTTAGCATGTTAGCATATGAGCTAGTTAGCATACACTAGCATCAGATAAACGAGGATTTTAACGCGATTGATTATCCGTTTTCACATCGACATTCACATTAATATAAAGTCTTACCATGAACACGAAGACTGGAGACCACGAGGAGGGTTTTAAAAGGCAATAAAAGCGACAAAACTGTCAGACAAAAACAACAACAACAGAGATGTCGCAACACGGAGGTTTGTTTACGTTTTCAGGCTGTGACGTCAAAGACGCGTGCTTCCGGTTTTGTTCCGCTTCTGGTAATTCAACCAATCAAAACAAAGACATTTTCAAGAGACTCTCGCCTACTAGAGAGGTTTTTCCTGGATCACAAAGAACTAAACACTTTATATCCAAATAAATTGTTCAATCCAAAGGCAGACACACTTGGAGAGTTGAGAACATCTTAGTGTACTTTGATATGTGGACTCTTGAAGCTACCTTCTAAGATTTCAATTAGTAACAGATATAAAGAGTTACCTCCACAACATGTACTTGTCCTTATGTAAACTAAGTATAAGACGGGGACCGAGTTGTCCAAAATGTAAGACTCATGTAGTGCATTGTTTGTGGGAACGCAGCAACATTCAAACATGTTGGAGGGCAATATGTGCAAATATCACTACAGCAGTCGGTCAACAGGTGTCAGTAGAACCTGCTTGGATATGTCCCCGGTCCTCTCGTCTAACACATCACGAGGACGTTGTTCAATGCTCTTAATGCTGGCCAGGAAAGCCATCATGGTGAAGTGGGTCGAGGAGGTCCACTAAGGCGTGTATTTCTGTTATTAGTTGTACTGTTCGCTTGGAGGATGCATGATATATCAAATGGACATGGAAATAATAAACTTTGCTCACACAGCACGAGGATAGACTCTATGTCTAGTCAAATGGCTGAAACTGAATAAAGCCCTGAAAACGAAATAATAAAACGTATATGTGTGATATAGTTGCAGTAATGAGTAAAATATGTAGTTGATTAAAAGGCAGATTATACAGCTCATTTCAACACAAGGCAATTCAAAGTGCTTTAAGACACAAGTGCAAAAGTAACATATTGTGCAATCTGGTACTTGAGTAAAAGTAGAAGTACTCAGATCTTGTACTTGAGTAAAAGTAGAAGTACACAGATCTTGTACTTGAGTAAAAGTAGAAGTACAACAGAGTCTTGTACTTGAGTAAAAGTAGAAGTACACGATCTTGTACTTGAGTAAAAGTAGAAGTACTCAGATCTGTACTTGAGTAAAGTAGAAGTACCAGATCTTGTACTTGAGTAAAAGTAGAAGTACACACAGATCTTGTACTTGAGTAAGTAGAGTACACAGTTGTACTTGAGTAAAAGTAGAAGTACACAGATCTTGTACTTGAGTAAAAGTAGAAGTACACAGATCTTGTACTTGAGTAAAAGTAGAAGTACACAGATCTTGTACTTGAGTAAAAGTAGAAGTACTCAGATCTTGTACTGAGTAAAAGTAGAAGTACACAGATCTTGTACTTGAGTAAAGTAGAAGTACACAGATCTTGTACTTGAGTAAAAGTAGAAGTACTCAGATCTTGTACTTGAGTAAAAGTAGAAGTACTCAGATCTTGTACTCGAGTAAAAGTAGAAGTACTCAGAGCTTGTACTCGAGTAAAAGTAGAAGTACTCAGATCTTGTACTTGAGTAAAAGTAGAAGTACTCAGGTCTTGTACTCGAGTAAAAGTAGAAGTACTCAGATCTTGTACTCGAGTAAAAGTAGAAGTACTCAGAGCTTGTACTTGAGTAAAAGTAGAAGTACTCAGATCTTGTAGTAAAAGTAGAAGTACTCAGAGCTTGTACTTGAGTAAAAGTAGAAGTACTCAGATCTTGTACTTGAGTAAAAGTAGAAGTACTCAGATCTTGTAGTAAAAGTAGAAGTACTCAGAGCTTGTACTTGAGTAAAAATAGAAGTACTCAGATCTTGTATGTTCCTTGATTTAAAAGACTTGATTGAGATCTAACAATGTTTTTACTAATCTGTTGATACTTAAGGCAGAAACAGTAATCTGACTGAAGTCTTCTACCTCTCCTCTGAACACCAGACCTAAAGTGGAGGTGGACATTTAGTGACTTCCTCCAGAGTGTCTCCATCACTTTAATAACATCTAAATGGGTCACGTCAGGACCTCACAGACTGCAGCCTGTGCAGACTGCAGCCTGTGCAGTAAAGAGTCAGGACCTTACAGACTGCAGCCTGTGCAGTAAAGAGTCAGGACCTCACAGACTGCAGCCTGTGCAGTAAAGAGTCAGGACCTTACAGACTGCAGCCTGTGCAGTAAAGAGTCAGGACCTCAGTACAGACTGCAGCCTGTGCAGTAAAGAGTCAGGACCTCACAGACTGCAGCCTGTGCAGTAAAGAGTCAGGACCTCACAGACTGCAGCCTGTGCAGTAAAGAGTCAGGACCTCACAGACTGCAGCCTGTGCAGTAAAGAGTCAGGACCTCACAGACTGCAGCCTGTGCAGTAAAGAGTCAGGACCTCACAGACTGCAGCCTGTGCAGTAAAGAGTCAGGACCTCACAGACTGCAGCCTGTGCAGTAAAGAGTCAGGACCTTACAGACTGCAGCCTGTGCAGTAAAGAGTCAGGACCTCACAGACTGCAGCCTGTGCAGTAAAGAGTCAGGACCTCACAGACTGCAGCCTGTGCAGTAAAGAGTCAGGACCTCACAGACTGCAGCCTGTGCAGTAAAGAGTCAGGACCTCACAGACTGCAGCCTGTGCAGTAAAGAGTATTTCCCCGCCTGTAAAATACCCAATAAAAAGGCCCTCCAGTTATAAATAGAAGCTCAAACAAAAGAGAAACGCAGGGTGAATATCAGATGTTCATTTATCTCTTCTATTCTAAGCAGGAAGTCTTACTGATTTACAGTCTCATGAAATGAAGTTGGAAACAGCGATGACTCGTTTGTGCAGAAATCCTTGAACATTTGTGAGTTTAAGTATAAAAAAACTCCCAAAAGAAAGCCTTAAACATTATTGAAAGCACACATTAAAGGACAAATCTCATTGAAAGTGCTTTAATTAGGTAATTTTTTGAGCAAAAATAGAAGTTATTTTGATATTTGTACACATTTTTCTGTTAGATAGAGGAATAGTTTGCCTCTACTGTAAAGGACAAATACATGGATTGCTGCAAACTCCACTAAGGCGTGTATTTCTGTTAAGACTGTACGCTTTGAGGAAGAATTAGATTTAAAGGTCCCATGTCATGGCCATTTCCACTGATCATAATTCCATTGTTGAGGTCTACTAGAATAGATTTACATTGTTCAATGTTCCAAACTCACATTGGTTTCTCACAGCATCTCTGTAAACTACGTGTATTCACTGAATGTCACTCTCTGCCTTTAACGGCTCGTTGTAGCTCCAATAGCTCCAGCCCCCCCCCTCCCTGTGAGCACAGTGTGCTCTGATTGGTCGGGACGTTGTGAATCGCGCTGAGCTCTGTGGAGGTGTGGTTTCCTTGTTTAGCGAAACACAGCCAAACTCACCCTGAGCACACACACAGTCACAGCTAGGGTGGCCATACGTCCGGTTTTCAATGTCTGTGCCCCAGGGGCGGATCTACCGGGGTGGCATGGGGTGGCAACTGCCACCCTAAACAATAGCCTTGCCACCCCAGCTGCCACCCCAGTTGGCATCTTTGTTTTGAAAGAAAAGTTGTGGCTCATCGGACATTTATGAGAGAAAGTGTCTAATGTCCGAGTGCAAGTGAATGCAGCACAAGATGCACGTCATGTAACCCCTCCCCCGGTCCTGGCGCGAGAGTGGAAATATGATTGGTGGGGAATTCACTTTAACAGGGGGACGGCGCAAAACGAGAAGCATTCGGACCCAAGTCCTGAAGGAATGAGGTAGTTGCGATCTACAATGAGAGAAGAGAATGTCAAGTTTGGCTGTACTCAGCATTGAATCAAAACGCACTAAAGCTGTTGATCTTAATACATTTGTGAGGCGTTTTGCTGAACAAAATAGTAATAGCCGCATTCAGCTGTAATAGACATGCCAACTTGATGCTCTGCTCACGGATGACTCGATGAGAATAACAAACTGTTAAGATGATGACCTTGTATGCGTGAATATATTTTTTTTCTTTGAGGGGGTCTGCCCCCAAAAAACAGTTTTAAGTCCTGAGAAAGTAAAATAAGACGGTGTAAAACTACACTGCCCAGCCAACAGAAAGTAACCACTTTGATTTAACTAGGCCAGTAGGTAACGACCTTCCACTGGATAATAACTGCAGCGATGTTTTAGCTGAATACACGTTTTTTTAACCCTAACTGATGCAGTTAGTCACTTCTTTAATGTTTGTTCTTTCTGATGTAAAGTCAAGGTTGTAACTGTATATCAATAATGATATAATTACTTGTTTTCAAATTTGAAGGAGGGTGAGCAAGCATCTTGATGAACATTCATCATTAACTCCTCCAAAAAATATAGTTTATTCAATAATAAATGAATATGTGAATCATAACAGTTCTTCACTATATCTGTAAAGCGTCTTTGAGCACCTGTAAAAACGCTAACAAATTAAATCTATTATTATTATTATTTATTAACAGTGATTGACAGCTGACAGGAATAATATGATTGTTAATATTATCATATTCATTCAGACAAACATCGATGAGACAGTTAATTAATGTACTTATTGCAGCAGTCTGTATATATTTGGTACTCCTGCTGGTCTAAGAGTGAGACAAACTCATTCAGTTATAGTTCAGTTAAAATTCATTAAATTACATCTGCCACCTTATATATAAGGCTTTACTGATGTGCCACAATAATATCACCTATGTGATTGAGTTAAAATATTAATATTGTGGCTTTCCAAGTTAACATTGATTGTAGGGGTGTAACGGTTCACAAACATTTCGGTTCGGTACGTACCTCGTTTTTAGGTCACGGTTCGGTTCAGTACGTTTTCGGTACAGCAGAAAAAATTATCACAAAACATTACATTTTTTTTTTTTATTATTATTAAACTGACTAATGTATTCAAATAAATACAAAATATAGTAAAATAAACATTAAGGTGCAGCATTTCGATGAACTGAAATAATCTGTATTTGAACTGTACTAGTACCTAAGCAGCCAGCTTGACATTAGGACTTGCTTGTCATTGTATTTTCATGTTTTTTTTAAAGATAAATTAACTTGTCCACATTGCTTGCTGAAAGGGCAGATCTGCTGGCACTAATCATGTCTCCTGCTGTG